GTTCTTAAACACAGGAGGCACTCGGCAGTCTACTGTCTTAGTTTTGCAATCTTCACAAATTAAATATTTGCCTTCAAAAGCAGCCTCTGTGATAAGCATCAGGATAATATTCCCTTGCCAATGCGGAAGTCAGCCTGCACTGTGGGTGGTCCTCTGGAGAGTAAGTTCCACATGGGACCCTCGGGTGGGAGCAGCTGGCAGTATTCCGGGCACAGTGAGGCCTCCTGTCCTTCAGGTGTCTCAAACCTAGGGTTCCTGGTACAGAGTGACCCTGCTGTGCTGTCCTCTATCTCCCGAGCAAAGAGTGGCCATGGGAGCAGGATTGGCCCCATCAGGCGCCACGTGTTGGCACCCAAGGGAAGCTGTCTGGCCAGATCTCTCCAACGAGGGCTGGATATGGAGGAAGTCCTGCTTGGTGGGAGTGCTGCCTGAGAGTCTCAGCAGGGGGAAACCACTTGTAAATGTATGTGCACAGTGAATTTGTGCCGTCCACAAACCCCAGCAGGCCTTGTTGTGCTGCTGTTAGAGTGGTTGCCTGAGAGGAGGGTCCATTTGGCCAGCTCCTTGGTGTGCACTGTGACACCATTTCCTCATGGGGCAGAGACTTTAGCAACAGCCATCTCCTGCCAAGGAACCCAGGTGGGTTGAAGGCCATAAGGTCACTGAGAGAGTGTTAGGAAGTTTCTCTCCTGTGTAACTTAGCCTTGCGATTAGAGTTTGCACTTTTGGAGGTAGAAGGCTGTGTCTCATGTCAAAGTCTCTGAAGTTTTTCTCAGAAACAGTCCCTCTGTTGTGTGTTCATTGCCCAGAGGGCACATGTGGGTGGACAAGGACCCTCCACACTGTTAATTCCTCCTGCTGCCTGTTCGGACCTCCAAGCAGGCCCACATATCCCACACACTGCAGGCTGATACTCAGGACACAGCCACCAGTGAGGTGTGGTGTGGTGAAGTGAGTGGTGAGTTGTTGCATGGCATGGGTGAGCCATGGCACACCATGGTGTGAGTATGGACTGCCCCAGGCTACACTGGCTGTGAGAGGACCTGGCTGAACTTCAGCCCTGTGCATCATTTTATTTGCCCCAATCTCCTCCCATGGCCCCTGGCCTGGAAGGATGTATCTCCCATCTCCCTCCTCTCTTCTGTTTTCTCCATCCTCTCTAGTCTTCCCTCTGTTCCTCCACTCTGGCCTTTGATGTGGTCCACCACAGGGGCATCTCAAGCTCTTTGGTCAAGCCCCACTCTTGAGACCCTTGGTTCACTCCTCGACTCTGCTGAGGGATTCACCCCTATCATTTCTCTGAGCAGCCCACCTGCCCTGCTCTCTCCACACTTGCCCTGCTTATGTCTCTCTTAGTGAAGTTAGGTGTGTGCCCTGTGTTACAGCTTTTCTCCTCATCATAGAGTCCAAGCCCTTTGAGTGTAGGGTTATTATCTCTTGTCTCCAGGGCACTGCTGTGTCATGACAACTCAGTATGGTGCTGGCACACTGCTGTAGCTCAGAGAAAGTTTGTTAAAGGAGACAAGGTGTGGCGGGCCATCCCAAACCCTCCCTCCTTGCTCCTGTGCATCCAGGCTAGAAAGAAGGAATTGGAAATGTGGCACCACAAAGATGGGAAGAGAAATTGTTTGGGGATGGTTCCGCAGTTGTCTGGGGGCCTACCGTTTCTGTCCGCAGTCCTGTTTGCATGTCTTTCTCCTGCACTAAAAAAGTGCTTTCTGCCAGGATTCTGGTGCTGGCATTGTCACCTGTTACTTTCAGGGGATTAACACCCTCTTCTGTGTTGGGCTCACCTTCTCTCTGTGCAACTCTAGACACTGAGTGAAATCCATCAATAGTAAGGATCCTCTGGAATCTAGAAATACTCAGCCAAGCTCAGCTCCATGCACCCTGAGCCTCATGGGTCTGGGTTGTGATGACTCTAGCTGCCAGCTTTATAAGGACCCAGAGGCGAAGATGATGCCCTGTGTGTGAGCAGAGTCAGGCTTCCCAGCCATGATGTATACTTGCTGGGACACAGCAGGGCCATCGACACAGCACCTCTTTCTGACTTGGGAAGAAAAAACAAAAACCATGGGTATTTCTGGAGGATACAGATGCAGGAAGGTCTTCACAGCCTGTGTCATCTCCACCCTGAGCCCACTGTGTCAAATCCCGGGAGCCCAGTCTCTGAACCATAACAGTGATGCCACCAAGGGTGGAGCTGGAGTTTCTCGTGGGAGAATCACCCCAGGGCACTTTCATGTTCCAGGAGCCCGTCCTCCATTTGTGATTGCAACTCCAGGGACTTCCCTCATTGATCATGTTTCATCGGAGTGCCCTGGGTGTTGGGGTGCGAGGGAAACATCCCCTAGGCTGTCAGATCCCTAAACACTGATGGATGCCCCCATCTCACGATGCAGAACTCCAGTGCTTTTCCTCAGCTGTGGCCACAAGCAAGGGCTGGCCATCCTGAGGTCACACCCTCAGCTCTCTTCGGACAAAGGAGTATCTAGAATTCTCAGGCCAAAAGCCATTCTGAACAATTCTCTCTGTTCCGTAACTGTGTTCAATGGAACAGCCTGAGTTTGCCTACATGTGACAAATTTCTCATTATGTAAAAAATGCAGACATTTTTCTGTATCACTAACCTTTATCACAGACCTACGAATGAGACTTAGATCATTTCCTTTTAAGGCCTTCCTGCTGATGAGGACAGAAGGTAACTATGTGTGCAGCCTCCAGGGCTGACATTACTGAGGGAAACTGGGGCACACTGAGGGAGTCACTTGGCAGGTATGCAAGACTGAGAAGCCAGTTTCTGGTCCAGCTCCCAGCTGCAAGTTGCCAATGTACTCCTAATTGTCACTGACCATGAGCCTGTTCAAGTCAGGGACCTCTCCAGGCCTCAAGAGATGAGCGCAGCAGTGCTCTGCAGCAAGTGTGCTGCTGACATGTGCGGCCGTGGCTGGGGAGCAGACAGCAGCTTCCCTTCCTTGCTTTGTGTCTAAGGAAAGCAGTGATCTCCAAGAGCAAATTCAAACCCTGCTGCAGTAGGTGAATTCAGGTACTGGCATCGCAGGGCACAGTGAGGAAAGGTGGATGGGTGTAGGGCTGGCTGGACTTTCATTTCCTAATATGCTAAGTGGGCCTAGTGTGGGATAATTAATGATGCTTGGGTGGGTGGAATCAGCCAGGCAGAGCCCAAACAGCATCAAAGGTGCACTGAAGCAGGTGTCGTCTGGGATAATTGTGGGGCTGTGGGGGAGCTGCTGAAGGTGCGGGAGGCCAAGCCACCCAGGGCCAGCCGCCAGGATGCCACCCTCACAGCTCCTGGGTCTGAATTGCAGCTTTGCTGAGCCTTTGAAGTAGAGTTCCTTGGTTTTTCCTTGAGAACAGATTCCATTCTTTCGAAGCCATCAAGCTCTTTCCCTTGGCCCAGAAAAGGGCATTAGCTGGCCTGGCTCCTCTGTGGTCTACAGGACACAGGGAGCTTCCCCTTATAGATCCTCTAAGAAGTGCTTGCTTTGTACCTTGTGATGGGTGGATAGCCCTTCCCTCACAGGGCGCCTCCCAGTGGCAGGCTCCATGCTGGGCTCATGGACAGGAGACACTTCAGGAAAGAAGATGGTGTCCTGATGCCTCTGCACCCAGACACAGGCTCTCCTCCCCATAATGTATAGCAAGCTGCAAACGTTGTAAGTCAAGGAGGTTGCAGTGCATTCACCAGCAAGATGCCAGGCTCAGCAGCATATGCACAGGGTCTTACTATTCCCCAGAGCCATGTACTCTGCCCAGCTGCCCAGGGTGATCAGATCCACATTATCAGCCAAGCAAGGGTCAGGACTCAACACTCAAAGAACAGTTTCTACTGAACACAGCTGGCTTTCACCCCAAACGATGTCAAAATACCAGGAATCATCAGAGTTAGGGACCCTCTGTGTGTCTCTTTGACAACATGAAAATCTTGCTTGCATAGTAAGAAATCAGGCAAGGGCCAGAGAGCAATCAACAAATATGTCAGGGATAGTTTATCCTGTCTTCTGGCTGCTGTCACAGAAGGACTTTGCTGTCCTGCACAAACTAGCTCCTCAGGAGAAGGGGCCACATATCCCCATCCCATATCCTCCAGAGGTACAAGGTGCATGGCAGTCAGCTCCCAGCTCTGATGACAAGGTCCCCCTCCCCTTCCCAGTGGCTCTGTTAAATGTGTCTATGAAGGTTGTAAGTGGCCCTGACCTGAGAATTCCAAAGTCTCAAGTCAGGCAGGAGGAGTTCCGTCTCAGGCACCTGCATGGCTCTGCACCTCTTTATATGTTAATTTTTGGTTTGAAAAGACCTCAAAGTGCCACTCAGACCTGCAGTACAGCTGCAGGAGATCTGGGCAGGAGCTGCCCTCTTCCTTTTGCCATGTGTCCCTGAGACAGTGTCCCCACTCCTGGCTGGTGAGCTCTGCTCTGTGCCTCTGGCACTGGGTCGCAGCTGGGATCTCAGCTCCTCTCCAGATGCTGATCCAGGCAGCGCAGTAGAGAGACACCTCCCCAGCACTACACTGGGAACACTAGGTAAGCTCACCCTGTAAATGTCCTACCATGGAGGGGACCTCTCAGTAGAAATGAAAACCTCACTCCACTGCCTTGGCTCCCACCATGGGGTCATGGCATCATCTCAAGCTTGATCTGAGCCTCCTGGCTGAAGCCCCAACCCCTTCTCACATTCCCAGGGCCCTGGGCTTAGGTAAACCAGAGATGTGCACTTTTCCAGCATCCAGGCACAAATCCCACAGCCTGCAAAGCACACACAGAGCTGGGCTCCTTAACCAAACATGCAACCAACAGCAAACTGGGATTTCTGGTGTTTTCCTGAAAACAAAGGAGCAACCTAGGTCTGAGAGCGGGTGGCGCACACACAGTTACTCAAGCTTGTCCAAACGCAGCAAAACATGACGTGCATTTGAAAAATGCACCCAAGCTCGTCCGCAGCTAGAATCTGGAAACCCAGAGGACAGGACCCAGGCTTACCTGGTCTGTGTGCAACGGCAGCTTCCTGTCCTGGCAGATGGCTGGCAGTGCCAGTGTGGGCCGGATGGGGTCTCCACTCCAGATCTCTCCCTAGCAGGTGCTCTGTGTCCCAGGGCAGCAGAGGCCGGGGACCAGAGCGGCACAGCTCTGCCTCAGCCCACCGCAGTTCTGCTTTAAAAAACTGCTCCGGTCCTGTCTGCTAGTTACAAGCTCCGTCCTCAGGGGCTTTCCCGCTGCAGACTCAGCTGCACCACCTAGAGGGCATTCCTGTACTTGTGACACTGCAGGAGTGCTTGACTGTCAGCCTAGGGCTGTGCCCGCCCCACACACCTGGCTCTCCTGCTTCCTGCCCTACAGGGCCAAGAATGTGAAGAAGCATTGATTTCTCCAGGAGGGTATGTGGAGGTCGGCTTCTATCAACACAGCTAGCCTTGGGCCAGAAGCACTAAAAGCAAAATTAGCATCAAAATATCATTAATCAGAACTGGTTCATAAGGGACCGCCCCCATGGAAGAGCCACGGGCCTGTGCCCTGGGGGCAATTCTACCTTCTAACTCTAGAACCTATGTGTGCAATTCCCATGCTGCCTGCCCACACAAATATACTGTGGACTGCCAGTCACCACCTCACTTCCTATCCCAACACCTTACCCCAATGTCATATATTCCTGAACAACTGGGAAACAGAGAATTCCCCCCTCCCCCACAATGATTCCAGGGAAGTATACACACCCACAGATCTCCAGGAAAATATACATACCCACAGGACTCTGGGGAAGTATACACACCTCCTAGGACTCCAGGGAAGTGTACACAACCAGGGACTTCAGGGAAGTATACGCACACCCTAGGACTCCAGGGATGTGTACATGCAACACACAACTCCAAAGAAGTGAACACAGCTCACAGGACTCCAGAGAATCTCTAGGGAAGTGAACACACCCCAGAAAACTAGAGGGAAATATACACACCCCACAGTTCTAGAGGGAAGTGTACATACTCCGTAGGACTTCAGGGAAGGATTCGTACTCCACAAGACTCCAAACAGCTTTCTGTGCCCCATAAATTTGGTGTACAAACTCTCTGATAACCAAATATCCTACACCAAACTTTAAGGTCATGTAGTATTACAAATATTTTTAAAGATGCTGGACTATTATTTCTAAAAAATTAAACTATTTGGGAAAATTGCTTTACAAGAATGGATTCTCCTGTCTCCTACATACTCCAAATCCAGGAACAGAGCAGCTCCTCTGGCCAGAGTTCTAGATCCTCCTCCTTTTCCATCTTGCCCCTCTGCCTTGGAAGCCGTGGGTGATTCACACATGAGACAAACAGAAGTAGGATCCTGGGACCCAGCAAGAATCCAACCTGGAGATGAATGTGCTCCAGACAGACTCAGAGAGCCTATTTTCTTGACAGCTGGCCAGTGTCGACACTGTGTCCAGATAGTATAGAGTTTGAACTTGAGTCTCCAGGTCTGCTTGTCTGTATTGTGTGCTTGTCTGTGTGGAGTCCATGCTAAGGGCTTTTGATAAATTAGATTCACATTAGAATTGGTCAATCTAATTTATCAATTAGAATTGATAAATTAGACTGTGAGAGTAGGAAATGAGGGAAAGGGTCTGGGAAGATCTCTACTGCACATTTGAATCTTTGGCAAGCTCATTTGACAAGTGAGCCTGAGGTTGGAAATTGCTTTAGGTATCACTTTTTTTCCTATTGAAAATTAAATGATGATTTTAAATTTACTAAAGAGAAATAGATGACACTGGCACTGCCAAAAGAGAGAGGAAAGAAAAGAGAAAAATTTAGCATATCAGGAAATGACCTCCTCAGCCAGTGTGCTTCAGTTTTTTGGTTGCCCAGGTAACAGTTCTCATTCCATTTCTGGTTGCTTCTGTCTCCTCGAAGCAGCTGGTCACTATGCATGTTGTAAGAACCAATCCCCAATTGACAAGCCATTTTGCCACTGTACTTCCTGATTGCTTATCCCGTGTAAACCTTAGGCCACCAGAGGTCAAGGCCTGATATTCTGGGAATGATCCTGATCAATGCTCATTGATGTAAATAAACTTGCCTCCAGATCCTGGGTATTGTTTCAGTGTTTCTGTTTGTTGTTGCATCTGCTATTGGCTGGGAAAAATGACAGTGCTGACCTCTTTGGTCACTGGTCATGGCCCTTGCAGATGGAGCAAGGACCTCTCCTAGTCCCAATGGGAAGATGTGTCCTTGAGTCCCCTCAGTGGTCCATAAGAGGATTCGTAGATCCCCACTCAAGTGGGTCACATTGGACCCAAAAGGGAGGAACATGCAATCTGTCTGTCTGTCTGTCTGTCTGCCTATCTGGTTCTGGCAAGACCCTCCAAGCTCCCCAGATAGTCTGTCAGTCTTACTCAGCTCAAGCAGAAGGGGAGTCTGATCAACTCTCATTAGTAAGGACTACTTCATGGGAAGGGAGTTGGAATGTTTAACTTCAGTGTATTGAATGAATGTGTGAGTGAGTGGAATGGACAGTGAAAGCAATAGGCTGTGCACCAAGACTGGGAAGTACGGGTCACTCTTGACTTGTCTATGTCAGTCAACTGAATTGGTTTGTTTGATCAGTCATTGCCTGCGTTTGGCCGTAGAGCACCACCCCACAACCTTCTGCTTCACAGCTATCCTATCCTGATCAGATGGCATCACCTAACACCCATCAAAGATGGATGATTGTCTGCAATTCCTTCTGAGTCTTTTCAACACAAAAACTGACATTTTGATTGAGGAAAAATTGGGCTTTCAGTCCTGACATGTGAGTTGCCATGGCCTTTCAAAAGGTCACCTCATCTAGAAACAACTTCTAGAAGACACTAAAAATGGGGCAAAAGCTCATTAACCAGTGTTACCCTGAAAAGCATCTGATATCCATAAGAAAATCCAGTCTGATAGGTGACCATATCCTCTGGCTATGAGTTACAAGGGCTATGGACACCAAAAAGAAATGTCCCTCATCTATGAGACACAAATAAACCTGAATATCTTGGTCCAACTCAACCTGAACTTCTCCTTATCCTATTGGGCTGGAAAGGTAGGACAGACTGAGTTCTATCAAATTGGATTCCCAAGAGCCTGTAATCTTCCCAAAAGTCAGGGACAAACCTGTGACTTTCCTGGTAGATTATGGAACAAAATTCTCTGTCTTCAAACATTCCCTTGTCAAAAAGTTACCATCACTAGGGAAACTGAAACTCTTGCTTACCCCTTCTGCCAGGGATAGACTTGTAGGCTGGGAGAACTCACCAAACATGAATTCCTGAGTTTCTGGGAAAAGATCTCCTCTTCAAGTTAGAGGGGACTGTCTCCTATCGCCAAATCAGTCAGCCTCCCTCTCATCTAATCTTGCACTTTTTCTGAGAGAAAGATAATGCCTCATTAGCTGAGATAGATAACTACAATCTTGAAATTCTGAAACTCTTCTCCCCAGAGGTATGATCCAAGACTTGCCTCTGGAATTGACTACCAACCATGCTGTAGCCATCACCTTACACTCTGCAGTTACCAACTCATCCTTCTTGAACTCCTACCTCCAGATGCCATCTGGTTTACTTTCTTGGATTTAAAAAATGCCTTCCTCTGCTTGTGAGTTGCTCCCATAAGCCCTTGAACTGGGAAAATCCTGAGACAAGACAAAACTCACTTGGACTCAATTGCCACAAGAGGTTAAAAACTCTCCCACTGGGCCAGGGTTTTAGCTCAGTGGCTTAAATGCTTGCCTAGCAAGCATGAGGCCATGAGTTTGATCCCTGGTTAAAAAAAAACTCAGAAAAAAACCAAACAAAAAACACAAACTCTCCTACTATTTTTTAGGGAGACTCTAACAATAAATTTGGCCATTTCAAAACAGCCTGTTTTGGGGCTGGGGATTTAGCTCAGCGGCATAAGTGCCTGCCTTGCAAGCAGGCAGTCGTGAGTTCGATCCCTGGTACCGATAAAAACGAAAAAGACAAAAAAAAAAAAAAAAAAAAAAACCAAAAAAAAAAAAAACCAAAAACAAACAAACAAACAAAAAAAAAAACCAGCCTGTTTCTCTGTCTTCTCCTGCTTGGACTTCAAAATTTTTGTAGACTGTCAAACTGCTAAAACATACCTCTTCTGCCTGTAAAGTCGGTTCAAGATCTCTGAGCTGCCAATGCCACTGCAACTGACCTCTGTATGTTAAATCAGTCTTCTGATACCCACAACCTACTGGCACACCTGCCTGGGCATAAAGAATGCCTTCTTGTGCCTTCAATTGGCTCCTGTCAGTCATCCCCTCTTTTCCTTTAAATAAATCACTTCAGTTCTGAACTCAAAAGCCAACTGACCTGGACTCAACCTCCCAGAGGTTCAAAAACTTGTTTTCCCTCTTTGGAAAAGCTCTCACAGCTGATCTTACTAGGTTCCCAGTACAAAATATCCCTGTACTTCTGATTAATGACACCCAAGTGGTTTGTAGGGAAGGCACAAAAGCTCTGCCCCAATAGCTGGCAGAAATTGGTTACAAGAAAGAAACTTCAAATTTCTTGGCACTGCTGCTAGCTTCTGTAGAATTTGGATCCTTGTGATCACAAAAACATTGACATCTACTCAGCTTCTCAGCCTCTCTGAGCACCCAGTGGCCTACATGAGCAAATACTTGGATCTGATCACTGAGGGCTTCTCCTCCTTTGTCTCCATGCTCTAATAGCCACTGTTCTTCTAATAGAAAAAACTGAAAAACTCATCTTAGGCTGAAACCTAATTGTCCAGGTGCCACATGTTGCACTGGATAAACTGATCACCTTGGACAAAGCTATTTTGCCCAAAGTTGTGCAGATACTGCTTCTTGTTGCTGTTTGGGAACCTCCAACCAATGTAAAATAATTAAATACAGAGGCCCATGTCCCCTCCAGGTATCCAACTGACTGAAACTTCAATTTCAGACCTGCCCCCACTATATGTTCTGCAAGCTCAAGCAAATGCACTGGCATTCATACTCCTGCAGCCAGCTCAGGCTTCAGCATCTGTGTCACTGGCTCCAACCTCCCATTTCTTACCTGCACTGAGAAGATAACAGAAGTTTTTAGGGTCCTGCTGTTCTTAGATATGGCCCACTCTTGACCACTAGCACTGATAATGGGCCTGCATTTGTAGCAGAGATAACTCGAAACTGGCAGAACTATTAAAGATTAAATAAAAACTACACACATAAACAGGACACAAGCTTTGACA